ACCAGCCCGTGACATCAACCACAAATAGTGTGCGTGCCACGCGGGCGACAGATACTACGAGTCGTTTGACATGGGTGGATCTATTCGACCCTGCGAGCGTGACACAGTGACTTCTAGGCTTGCACAATGGCCGCAAGACATGGGGCGTGCGAGAGCGCTTTGATGATGCAGAGCATCGCACATGGCGGTGTTGGGCAAGTTATCGGGTACCCACGAGGCCTCTGCCACCTGCGCTTACCTGGATGATCTGCGCTGTGTCCTGAGCCGCCGCCGGCTGATTTTAGTGAAAACTGATCTTGGTGGCACTAGAGGCTTTTAGAGCATCTCCAGCCGCGTCCCCACAGGCCTTTCTCAGACGTTTTTCTCGCGCCGGCGTCTAAAACACGGCCCAGTCGCATTTTCAGAAACTCGTTTTTCGTCGGCTTGGGCTGAAATTGACGCCGGCGTACCCAGGCCGAACCCGGCGCACTGGGGGCACCGGGGCGAGCGCTTTTCGCGCGAAAGAACCGCGGGCCAGCCGCGTCAGCGAGACGACGCCTCGTCTATCCCTAGAGCGCCTCGGTTTCTCACGGGGAATCAATGGCAAGGGTGCCGCCGGTCAGCCTTGCCATTGATTCCTCATGGGTGGCGTGTCACGGGCGGCGCGACGACGCCTCCCCTCCCGCCATGTGTACACACGATGCGGGCTATAAAACCCCTCGCTCCCCCTCGCCGCTGGCCACACCAGCCCAAGCCCAAACCAGCCGCCGAGCTCCCTCGTCTCTGCTCTCCCCCGTCTTTGCTCTTTCCCGTCCATGCCGCCGAGCTCCCTCGTCCTCCCCTTCCCCGGCGATGGTTGAACGCTTCCCCGACGATGCCGCGGTGGCCAACGGCTTCGGCCGCCGCTCGCTCCAGGAGTGGGAGGCATGGCTGCTTTCAAGGCCAACATCCCAGCGCTGCCGGACATGCGCGCCGGGCCGACGAGGTGGAGGCTCAGCAACGACGACGGCCCCATCCCCCCGTGCCCGGCGTCGACGCGCGCCCCAGCGTCTTCGCCGCCGAGGTCGACCGCGTGCGGTCGTCCCTCACGGAGGAGCAGTGCGCCCTCCCCCAGTGCACCGCTGACAACCACATGGCGTGGGCGGACTACTTCCAGCGGCGGCAGGCGCAGCGGCTGGCGTCCACGAACGGGGCGCCAGTGGTCGGC